GATTGAAGTATGACTATGTGATCTTTCACTTAATGAAATGTTCACTTGTTTTCTGTGATTTTTAATTGTGAGCAACATTTAGATTAAAACATTAATACCCTGTTTCCCTGAAAATAAGACCCAACTGGAAAATAAGTCCTAGCATGATTTTTTAGGATGCTCGTAATATAAGCCCTACCCCCCAAAAAGCCCCAGTTAAGATTGTCAGCCAGATGGATGCATTTAGTACTGTATTTTCCCCAAAAGAAGACCTAACCAGAAAATAAGCCCTAATGCGTCTTTTGGAGCAAAAATTAATATAAAACACAGTCTTATTTTGGGGAAAACATGGTAGTATTTTTTAAATCGAAGCACTGATGCAAACTTCCAGAGCCAAGTCTTGGGACTACAATTTCTAGCCAATAAGAACTTGATAGTTTTGAGGAAATCATTCCTGTAATGAGCAAGCTGCTCATATACCACCTGAGGCATCTATGCTTCTGAAAGCTTAGTGAAGTGTCTTCTCCTAAATTAAAGCCACATATCCATGCCCAGGTCTTTTGGAGGCACTTCAGGTACATTGTGCTAGGTAATAATGAGATTCCTACCAACTTGCTTCCCTTTTTATGAATTACGGGTCGTGGCAAAAGGCTCTTCGAACTGGAAAGCTGAACTGGTTACCATATAAGCTGATTATTAGATGAATTGCTATCATAGTTTAAATCAAATGATTTGTCAAGTCATAGGCAGTTATAACTGCTGGGAGTCATCAATTCACATTTTCTCCAAAACAAGGCAATTCTATATACATTTCATTTCAAATAACTTGTATTGAGGTCAATGAAATGTCATATAGGAAGGCAGAAGATGTACTGCCCAGTGAATCTAATCAGGTTTACAATTTTTTAAAAAAAGCCAAGATGTATCCTTAATTTGGTCAGAACAAAGAAGCTAACCCGGCAATCAGCAGTTGCAGTTGTCCACATGATGTACATACTAGTGGCCTGGCCATGAAGCAATGCTCTCTGTCCATATTTATTTGACTCTAAGAGATCTCTGCTCAATCCAGAGGATTTATTAAATGCATGGCTGGATGATTACTGTAGTTTCTGAGGAGTTTAAAATAAATAATGAAAAGCCACATGAAATATGTATACTAAATTAATGAACTCGGCAGGAATTAAAGCCGTCCTTCTTGCAGCATCAACATAAAACTTTCGGCCAAATGCCCTTAGAAACAATTCTGCACAACCAGGTTGAAACAGTCCTATAGCCAGCCCCAAAGGTAAGCAAGAAAAGAGCAGGAGGCAGGTGGGGGTGGGAACAAAAAGAAAAAGCAGCCAGAAAATGATCTGTATTTACATACAAGTACAGAAAAATAGACCAACAAAAAGCAAGTGTAGGAGCTGATGCCAGTCAACAAAGCTTTCAAGCTTTATGACAGATGATCACAAAGAAAGGGAGAGAATGTGAGAAATAACCAGAGAGAGGCTTCATATTCCATTCCTTTTACAGATTGTCACCCAATGTCACACTATAAATTTAAATGGTAACACTCCTCTGCAAGTCTACATGATTATTGTTTTTTAAGTGATGGCTTTATTTCAACTGATGATATGCAGTACGTTATATAAACTGAAACTGTGCACTTAGAAGTAAATGTAATTGTGTTGAATAAAACTTACTATCCAGGAAATGATGAGGGTATTGCATTGTTTTTGTTGCTAATTGAATAATATGGTATGTACTGCTGCCCTTAATCAGGATGTAAGTAAGCCTCAATTCTCTTTGATTTACTGGAGACTCGGTGTAAACCTGAATATGCAGTACAAGTGATCCCGTCCCGTGACAGGAATGTAACAAGGCTATTAGGATCTTGGGCAGTGTAATACTACTCATTAGTGGCTGCACTCTGAATGGTCCAGCAGACTAAGGAGAACCTTGGTTTTTAAGTAGCAATGATCTTGAACAAGATCCCATCTTTATAGCAATACCAATAGCACTTAGATTATATACAGCTCTATAGTGTTCTACAACACTCAGCAGTTTACAAAGTCAGCCTATTGCCCCCAACAATCTGGGTCCTTATTTTACTGATCTTGGAAGGATGGGAGGCACTGCATTTCACTATAAATGAAAAATGACTAACAGAATTAGGTAGGGCCTTCCAGACATAATATGTAGGAATTCTCCTGGATGTAGACCCCAAGAAAAAGCAACTTATCTGGAAAAATCCTACCAAACAGACCCTTACTTCACCAGTTCCTTTTGAAAATGTTTAGGAATTTTATAATGGGCCAGATTTCAACATCATGTTTCCACAGGATTCTGAACACTTAACATTATTTGAATCTCAAGTACTTGCTTGTGTGGAAAAAATAGGATAACAAACAATTGATCGATTATTTAAATTATACCATTTAAGAAATGCCATAGGTAGTAAAATATCCAGACACTGTAATTTTCTTAAGGTCTTGGAGTAACAGAGTAAGAATTGGTAGCATATTGTACTATGTGATGAGTTCACCATGCTGTGAACAGCTGCTTTTTAAAGAATAGAAGTGTAGAAATTCCTAGTGTGATGTTGCCAATCATGTATTTATGTTTGTAAAGCCCCAATGTAAGTCCTTGTGTATATGAATACGTGTGCAAGCAGGAAAAAGTACTAAACATAGAGATAGGTGATTACTAGGCCAGACAGGAATCTTTAAAAAAAAAGGTAGTAGAAATCTGTAGATAAATCTTGATATATATTTATTCACTCATGTTAGTGACAAGAACCCCATTTATGTAGTGAACCTTGTGAGCTTAAATAGGTTCTTTACCACCACACAAAATCAATTTTAAAAGCACATTGATATTAAGACTGTTTCATTTGCAATTTTCTAAATAGTAGCTAAATAAATCTTTTCACTTCTACAAGGTAAGCAAAATTACTGTGCAATATTGCAACAAATTAAAACATATCTATTTTTGAAATTACACGTATTTTTGGAAGAGAGCAGTTGAATGTGCATGAAGTTAGCAAGTTAGGAACCAGCAATTATCAGGCTAAACAGCACCAATAGGTCAACAGAGATCTGGTATTTCCCAAGACTTACAAGAAACGGCCAAATATTTTTGACTCAGGATGATGGGAAGGAAAAGCCTAAAGAATGTAGTCATTATTTTAGACTCTGAATTACCTATTTGTTATTATTAGAATATTTTGCATACATTTTATTCTGAGGACCATTTACCCATTTTTCTGAGAGTAAATTTTATCTTATTTTGATTACTGATACATAGGAATTGCACTTTTTTAATGATTCCCCATACTAATTTACCGTACTAAACTGATGTGTTGATTAAATGTAAAGTGAGATGATATATTTCCTCCTGGATTCCTCCAAAGAATAATAAGAAAGAACAAATATAGGTAGTCTTCGACTTATGACCACAGTTTGGACCAAAATTTCTATTGCTCACTTAATCAAAGTGAGATGTATTCAATTTTATGAGCTTTTTGCCACAGTTGTTAAGTGAATGGCTGCAGTAGTTAACTAAATCCAGCTTTCCCCCTTGACTTTGCATGCTGGAAGCCAGCTGAGAAAGTTGCAAATGATAATCACGTAACCTGGGACACTGAAACCATCGTGAAAAGTGCCCAAATTTTGATCACATGACTGGGGATGCTGCAATGGTTGTAAGTGCAAGTGTAGGTCATAAGATACTTTTTTTCAATGCCATTGTAATTTTGAACAGTGGGTAAACAAATGGTTGTAAGTCAAGTTCTCCCTGTAACTCTAAATAATGAACTTTTATCAGTTTATTTTATTGATCAGTCAGATTGGATAAAACCAGGAATGAGCTCTCCCTCAAGAGTGCCCTATCAAACTGAGAGATAAATGGGTCTACTTTAAATTTTTTCGATTTCAGAGAAGCTTGACATTTAAGAAAATTATTGCTACAGGGACTAGTTTTTTTCTCTCTGGAAAATGACATGGCCTTGGGTTCAATTATGTAATGCCAAATAATTTAATATGAATAAAAAGAAAACTGAATAATATGTGCTTGATTAATTATCAACACAATAGTAAAATACAAAGCCTGAATCACATTGCATCAATGAATATTTCTTAATGATATATAATCATGGGCAATTTTTAGGAAAGGTACTTCTAGAAAAAAAATGAAAGGATAAGGTTCCACCACCTTGTTCTTTCTAGAGTATTTTACTCTTACATACACATTATAACATAGCAATTATTTTGATACTGAATGTTGATGTTGAATAGAAATAATAGAAATAGGAATAGGAAACAAAGAAGAGAAGGCTTTATTGGCCAAGTATGATTGGACACATAAGGAATTTGTCTCTGGTGCATAAGCTCTCAGTGTACATACAAACAGCAAAGTAATATAATCATAAGATACCAATAGGAGAAAGTAGTAGAAAAGATGAGAAGCACAATAATAATATAGCCATACCCATAGCCATGGATAAATATCCTTAGACATAAGGCAGTATTGTGGTTACAAGGTGTTTAGCAGAGTGATGGCACAAGGGAAAAAACTCTTTGTGTCTAATTGTTTTGACTTGCAATGCTCTATAACTGCATCCTGAGGGGAGGTGTTGAAGCAATTTATATCCAGGATGTGAGGAGTCTGTAAATAGTTTCTTAGTCCTTTTACTGGCTCGTGGATACAGGTCTTCAATGGAAGGCAGGATGGTTGCAATTGTTTTTTCTGAAATCCTAACTGTCCTGTTTGGTTGCTGTACCAAGCCAGACAGTTATATGCTTACCATTTGTTTTGGGTTTTTTAAATATATAATATACGGCTCCTAAGGATGGCCATTTACTGTTCTGGTTCTTTGACTTTTTCTTAATGAATTCCTACAATCTTGTATTTGATACAAATATATGCCCAAAAAATTTTAGGCAGATAAATAAATTTGACACGAAAACTGCAGATCATTAACAGATTGCAATAATTTTGAAATTGATATTGATTTAAAAACAACACCTAATAAAATTGAGAAAAGTGAAAAATAAACCAATTTTATTGAAGAAAGAGTACATTATATAATATGGGCAGCAATTTTAATGAAACAAGCAATCATCAATCAAAACACAAAACAAAGAAAGCCAGTCACAGATGGCCCTGCTATATAAATCCAATGCATAATTGTTCCCCACCAGAATTTTAAAAAGTTCAAATTTCCTAAATTACAACAACATTTGCAGCAAAATGTTTGTGAGTTTTCATATGTGAAGGGTAGTAAGTCAGAGTATCATTACAAACTGACAGATCCTCTGTTCTGAAAAAGTCATCTTCAAGTGCAGAAAATAAACCAGATTGTTCCTCTGTGCAATTTCTCAGAGTAAACTCCTTGGTAAAGCAGAATTTAATCTGGCCTATTACTTGTAGCCGTCCCTGAAGAAGGAAAACAAAACAACACTATAGAAAAAGTGTAAATATAAAGGAATTATTGATATCTTGGTTGGTGGTTGACAGTTTGGCAGAATGAATTTAATCTTCAGAAGCCAACAGTTGCAGCTGCATGATATAGTTACCAAAGAACACAAACTTACGGTAATATCTACTACTTGGAATAATGCTGAGCAAGATTTTTTTTCAGATCAGAAATTAGATGGCCAAGATATAAATTAAGTCTGTATTGACATACAGCAGTAACTTTATGAACTATTTTGCTCCAGCAATATAAAAAAATGAGCACAATTTGAAGTCAGCAACCTTTTACAGAAATAAACTGTACTTGGAAATACATATTGATTTCTTAGATTATATTGTATTGCTGTTAAATGGCATTAAAAGTATTCAGAATGAAGCTGTTCCTTGAAAATATTTTAAAAACCATATACCTAAAATAGATCTCTTAAAAAATAATAGCTTTGGTCAACAGATACAAAAGGCTATGTATTTTCTACTTAGGTAGAACTCTAGAAAATATTTTCTCAAGTAGAGCCCTGGTGGCGCAGCAGACTAAAGCACTGTTATTAACATCAGCTGCCTGAAATCACTGCAAGTTCAAATCTCACCAGGCTCAAGGTTGATTCAGCCTTCCATCCTTTCTAAGATAGGTAAAATGAGGACCCGGATTGTGGAGGCAATAAGCTGACTTTGTATAAAAATATACAAAAGTATGAAGGCTATTGCTTAACGCATTGTAAGCCGCCCTGAGTCTCCGGAGAAGGGCGGCATATAAATCAAATAAAAAAAAAAAAATAAGGCCCCTTCATCAAATATACCACCAATGAGAACTGACAGAATCAGTTTCCCAAATGGCATTGGCTGGCCACCTCATCAATAAAACAGGCAAACATAGTAGTCAAAATGTCACTGGGTGAAGTCCAAAAAAGACTTCAGAATTCATATTTTCTAGATCACCTAAAGGTTATTTTAAACTGATAACCTTTAAACTGATGCAATATAATCCTACAAAGGTCCATTTGAAAAGGAAAGATTTCATCTATATATTGCCATAAACCTAAATCATATGAAAACTAGCTACCTGCAGTTTTAACTTTCTTTTGTTTTTACTTCCCATTTAAAGCCTAAATCTGGACAGATGGAAAGAAAGAAAGGCAGAGGGAGGGAGGGAGGAATGGATTGATTTTCATCATTATTGAGGGCAGACTGATGAGTCTGTATTGAATATGTATCTGAAAGAATGATTAAATAACTAGATGTATTTAATCTTCAATCTTCCAAATATTAAAACAACTTTTTTAGAAAAGAATGATTAAATATTAACTAGACAGGCATTAAGAGAAATATGTACCTCTTCAGGAGGAATACACTGAATCTTTGGCATTATATTGTAAAAGCTTTCAAGAGCTTCTTTGATGGCTGTCAGCTGAAGATTTAAACATGAAATAAATAACATAAAAAGAATCAAGCATCTGTTTAACTAAAGATGTGTTTTCATAGTCTAGAATTATGAAAACTCAGTATGAAAATAAGAAAAATAATAACACACAGTTATGAGATGAAAGTCTGCATTTGTAATAGAATTATCTCTTTTCATACTTCTTCCCAAAGTTAACTCTTATATTTCCTGAAATGAATCTTGATTAGATATGTTTGTTCTTCTAATGGAATTCTTTAGTAGAAAGACTTAATTAGATTCTACTCACCACTAAGTATTATACAATGACAATTAAAGGCTACAGTTTTGCAGAATGCAATGCAGAGTGAGCTTTTCTCTCACCTGATAGTAGGTAGAGCCTGGCTTTATCCCAACTTTCGAGAGAAAACTGAAAGAGAAAGAACTCTTATCCAGCATTAAAAAGACAGAATTCACTACATGCAATTACACAACAGATAGATTCATCATTATTTTCCCATATGTAAAAGATTAGATAGAAAAGACATATAAGACTTCAAGAAGTCAAATGTGCTTCAGCTACACAGTATATCCAACATTGTTTGACTAGTATTACATTTTTGTTATTCATTTTCTCTTAAAATTGTTATAAAGCCTATTGTACGTAACTGGAACATCGGCATAGTAATGCTGGATTAATAATCCATAGAATAAGTGAAACCTTACAATGTTCACAAAATAATCCACTCATTTTAGGGCTACTTATACATTGTTCACTGACAAAAAATACATAATATCAATTTTATCAATTTTCTAAAAACAGATTGAAAATTCCTACTGTATCTTTCAGGGAATGCTTGGATCCCTGAAAGCCCTCTTACTGATTCTTCATTAGGAAAATGTGCTATGGCAGACAGGCTTCTAGACAAAGCTTCTAGTTTACAGTTGCAAGAAAAAGTATGTGAACCCCTTGGGATTACGTGGAGTTTTGCATGAATTGGTCATAAAATGTGCTCTGAACTTCATCTAAATCACAACAATAGAAAAACACAGTCTGCTTAAAATAATACTACACAAACATTAGATGTTGCCATGGTTTAATTGAACATAACATGTAAACATTCACAGTGCAGGGAGGAAAAAGTATGTGAACCTTTGGACTTAATAACTGGTTGACCCTCCTTTGGCAGCAATAACCTCAACCAAATGTTTCCTGTAGTTGCAGATCAGACCTGCATAACGATCTGGAGTAATTTTGGACCACTCCTCTTCACAAAACTGTTTCAGTGTAGCAATATTCTTGGGATGTTTGGTGTGAATCGCTCTCTTAAGGTCATGCCACAGCATTTCAATCGGGTTGAGGTCAGGACTCTGACTGGGCCACTCCAGAAGGTGTATTCTGTGCTATTGAAGCCATTTTTTTTTTGTTGTTGAATTACTTGTATGCTTTGGGTCATTGTCCTGTTGCATCACCGATCCTCTGCGGAGCTTCAGTTGGCGGACAGATGGTTGTACATTGTCCTGCAAGATGTCTTGATAAACTCTGGAATTCATTTTCCCATCAATGACAACAATCCGTCCACGCCCTGAGGCAGCAAAGCAGCCCCAAACCATGATGCTCCCTCCGCCATGTTTTACAGTGGGGATGAGGTTTTGATGTTGGTGTGCTGTGCCTTTTTTTCTCCACACATAGTGTTGTGTGTTCTTCCCAAACAACTCAATTTTGGTTTCATCTGTCCACAGTATATTTTGCCAGTAGTGCTGTGGAACATCCAGGTGCTCTTTTGCAAACTTCAAACGTGCTGCAATATTCTTTTTGGACAGCAATGGCTTCCTCCGTGGTGTCCTTCCATGTACTCCATTCTTGTTTAATGTTTTCCTTATTGTAGATGTGTCAACAAAAATGTTAGCATGTGCCAGAGATTTCTGTAGGTCTTTAGCTGACACTCTAGGATTCTTCTTTACCTCATGAATCATTCTGTGCTGTGCTCTTGCAGTCATTTTTACAGGACGACCACGCCTAGGGAGAGTAGCAACAGTGCTTAACTTTCTCCATTTGTAGACAGTCTGTCTTACCGTGGACACATGAACATCAAGGCTTTTGGAGATACTTTTGTAACCCTTTCCAGCTTCATGCAAGTCAACAATTCTTGATCGTAGGTCTTCTGAGAGCTCTTTTCTGCGAGGCATGGTTCACATCAGACAGTGCTTCTTGAAACCAGTAAACCCAAAACAGGTGTGTGTTTTTAAAGGGCAGGACAGCTGTCAGCAACACATCCAATATCATCACACTGATTGGAGTCAAGGTTGGCTCACTCCTGGCTCCAATTAGCTCTTGGAGAAGTCATTAGGCTAGGGGCTCACATACTTTTTCCTCCCTGCACTGTGAATGTTTACATGTTATGTTCAATTAAACCATGGCAACATCTAATGTTTGTGTAGTATTATTTTAAACAGACTGTGGTTTTCTATTGTTGTGACTTAGATGAAGTTCAGAGCACATTTTATTTATTTATTTATTTTTCAGATTTCTATACCGCCCTTCTCCTTTCGGACTCAGGGCGGTGAACAGCCAAGATAAAAAACATTTATACACAAAAGTTAAAAATAGATTTAAAATAATTAAATAAATTTGGCCCGTAATTTAAAACATTTCAATTAAAATCCATATCAAATTATAAAACCAACCATAAAATCAGGACAGCCCGGCTAACTGAAAAAGGTAGGTTTTTAGGGCCCGACGAAAAGTCTGGAGGTCAGAGATCACTCGTATCTCTGGGGGTAGATTGTTCCAGAGGGTAGGTGCCACCACAGAGAAGGCTCTCCCCCTGGGGGTCGCCAGCCGACATTGTCTGGCCGATGGCACCCTGAGGAGGTTTTATGACCAATTCATGCAAAACTCCACATAATTCCAAGAGGTTCACATATTTTTTCTTACAACTGTATGTAGTTTGACCAAATGCTGGCATTAGTAAAATAATTGTGCATATTTTACAATGTCCCGCCAGAAAGGAAATTGAAAAGGAATAGCTAGCAAGCTACAAGAACTGAGTATTTACAAAATATTTCATATTATTTTTACTATTTTTCCAAAATGCTGTATTCCTGATCTCCATTCTTCTTCATTATGTCTCAAGGATACAGTACGTGCACACATATAATGGTTTATTGTTTGATTTTTATGACTAATTTGAGGAATTGCATTTCATTTATTGATCCACAGTATCTAAATTTCTCATGTTCATTTAATATTTATATTTGATAATCACATACAGAACAAATGCTTTCAACCAGAATTATCTTGGACTGGCAGTGATGTCTTTTTTATCCTTTCCTAGTTCTAAACTTCATGGATGCTTGAAGTTCAAACTTACATTAAAGAGAACATAAACACATGGTGTACTATAATCCCTAGAGCTGGGATCTTCCATCCAATACTGAACTCATGAGAGATCTCAGCAATACCAATAGATTCAAGCCTAAGTGATGCTATAATGTTTTTGTTATGTATCAGCAATTTCCCCGAAGAAACATTTTTGAACTTCTAACCTTTAAGGAAACATTAGACCAAGCCCCCCATAACTGGCAAACTCAGGATATAAGAACCACTTCTGTAAATAAATGAAATACTGCAAACTCATTAGCAGAAAGTTTTACATGTTGTAAGAGTGGTAGTGACTCTGAGAAAATAATTTTCCCCACCTGTTAAGGTCAATTTTTCTATAGAGTTCCAGTGTCTTCTGAAAATACTTTTTTTGTGAGTTAAGAGTCTCTAATTGAGCTGCACATGTCCCATGTTTTTCCCATTCATGTTTCCTATGTAAAGAAAAAAAAAAGTAAAAAAAAAATAACTAGTATCTTCAAGCACCAATGTATTTGGAAAACTATACAAAAATTTTGTAATCTTCTAATATTTATTGGAGAATAAAATCTCAGTTGTGAGTCCAGTCAAGATTCTACCACTTTGTCCACTGCATAGGAAATCTAGAAACTTTAAGCATAAAGCCAGCTTTAGTACCTGCTCTTCCTAAGAGATACTATTAGATAAAACAGATCTAATGATAGGTAATGTCTTTACATTTCTGTATGATAATGCATGTTTTGCAACTATAACATCTTTTATAGCTTATTTACTTATTTAAATTTATTGACTGCCCAACTCCAATGAACTCAGTGCAATTCAAACTATGATTCCTTAGGGATGCTCTAAATCAGGGATGCTTAATTCTGGCCTGCGGGGCAGCCGTGGAAATGGCGAAGGACTGGCCCGCAGTGCCTCTGCCAGAGAAAATGAGCATGCCCCCGCTCCCCAGGCTCCGTTTTGGCTGGCAGAGGGCTTCAGGAAGCCATCCAGGCCAAAAATGGGGCCCAGGGGGCCAAACAAAACAAAAGGAGAAACGTTTCCTCTTTTGCATTTGAGCATCCAAGAGGGACAGGAAAGGAGAAAGGGAAAGAGGAAAGACAAAGAAAAAGAAGGGAAGCTGGGAAGAGAGCAAGGAAGGAAAAAGAAGGAAAGAGGGGAAGGAAGAAGAAAGGAGAATAAAGAGGGAAGGGGAAGGAAGGAAGTCCTGCCTTAGCACGTGGCCACCAGCAGACAGCAAGGCTTCTCTGGAGGACAAGAATTTGGCACTCTCCCTGGTCTCGCCTTTCTTCGCTGGAGACAACGGATCCTCTCAGCCCCACCTGGGGTCCACCATAGGTGCTCCTAACATGAGTGATGTCAAAAGTTGGCCATGCCCTTCCTGGCCACACCCACCCAGCCCCCGAGGTCAAACACAACCCTGATGCGACCCTCAATGAAATCGAGTTTGACACCCCTGCTCTAAATGGTACTCTAAATATGTATTTCACAAACTCCTGTGAAATATATATATAAAATTATCTCCTTAATTTATATGAAGTATTTATATATAAAAAATCTCTTGGGTAGAAGGTCTTTTTCTGTTGAGAAAAGGATTTCTTTTTATGAATAATTTAAGTTAAATAACAAGAGAAGTGAAGGTGTGACACCTGAAATAGTTTGGAGTCTTCTGAATTTGCTTTTCAAAAGCAAGAAAACTTAGCATTTGAGAGAAGACATGCTGCAGTCATGTTTCATGTGGAACTGGAAACTATGGAAACCACAAAGTATAAAGAAAAGCTATCTTTGTTTTTATTTTGTCAAATGAAAAGAAAATAATCTTGTCCTTGTACCTAACAAATATTCATTTTGTGGCATATCAAGTTGCTACCAACTTGACGGGGACACAGAATAACAAAGGTTAATTGCTTAATACATTTTTTCACTGAAAAAATGTCAGTACTGAAACTTTACTTCCCATCAAGGTTACAAATCAGAAAAAGAGAAGCAGTTCTAGTAAAAAACAGAAGACAAATCAGTTTATATGTTCAGTTCTTAAACCATTCATTTTTTTTCCTGGTGAGCTGTATTCATGAGGCAGACTTAAGGGAAATATATGGCATTTTATAATGTAGTCTGCATTTTTCATTCATCATTCCACAATTTTAATGCTGTGTTCATATATTTCTACCTTATGATATTGTGGTTACTGCCAGTGTGGAATTGCATTTGCTCTGCATATGGGTCACAGACCCCCCTCCCAGCAAACTGAGGTATTTTCGGCTCAATAGAGCTGTGGATGGAGCCCAAGGATAAAACCCGAGCCGAGCCCGAAGATCAGCTGTTTGTCAGTAAAAAGACTGAGGGCAATGGGGAGAATGTCAACATCAAAGCCTGGCTGTCATGACCGGGTCAACCACTGAGTCTAATACAGCTGATGAAATGGTTGGCGAGACGGTGGCAACAGCGACTCCGGATAGGGTGTTGATAATGATGCCTGGGCTAATAGGCGCTGCATGTAGCAACACGGCGGCGATGATGTCTATGGCAAGGGGGGTTACCACAATGGCGAGGGGAATGGCGCTAATGGCAGCGACGGCGACGGCAACACCAGGAGGCTGCAAGGAAGCCCTCGTTGTTAATAGAGGAGAGGGCAATGCTGCAAAGGCTATAAATGTTAGGATCCCTTCAACCTCTAGGGATCTGTTGCACTCCTCTTTCTTGAAACTCTGAGGACTTATTAAACTAATTGAACTAAGTAGCCTGAGCAAGGTGATGGATAGGGACTGAGGATTACTCTCCCCCTCAACTGTCCCTCTCTCCTTTATCAGATCTAGATCTATTACGACCACTCAGCGTTAACTTGCAATCTTAGATCGATCTGCAGTTTTATTTACCACCTATTCCCCCAAGATTACCCTGATTATTTAACCCTAAATACTTTGTCCAGTGGCTCTGCCTTACTTTTTTGATCTAATCCTCGGCCATCGCTGGTATCAGGACTGGAGGAGATACAGACATCGAGAGTCTTGGATTATGGGGAGATAGACCACCTTCTCTTTGTTTGTTTCAAATGGTTTGGTCGCTGTGAGAGGACGTCCCTTTGAGACCTCTATCCCCACCTCCTTTGGATGGACTTACTACAACCACAAGACTTCCCATCGTCGTGAGAGGGCGATGATGTTCTGATGTATTGACATTTGTAACATACTGGTCTCCCTTTTACATCTATTTCCTCCCTTATTTTAAATTACCTGTCTTAACCATCTCTAACACTTAGAAGAAAATGATCCTTCATCTCCTTCAACTCGCTCCTATCTTTGATGTATTCAACTGCGGAGCTCCTTGCACTGCGAGATTCTCCCCTCTCGCATGTCTGGCCCTCTCAGTTATCAAGGGCCGCCCTTGAGGACGGGTTTTGGAACCCTGAGAGGTGGTTTGCAAAAAACCGACGGCTTTGGGGGTTTTTAGATAAATCTTTAAGTTCTATTTTAAGGGGTTCTGGGAGGGATTGTGGGAATGGATCTGGGGGGATCCATAAATCCACTGAAAGGGGTAATGGGTCTGATAATCATGGTGGGGAGGATGGGGACAGAAATCTGACAAGGATGCAGGGGGATGAAGCGATGGGCATTAGTATAGTAAGTGGGAGGGGCAGATATGACGGCTGCAGGGGGCCATATTATGTTTTGGGAGTGCGCACTCGTTGTTTACGAGCGATTGCCCACTCCGACCCCCAAAGCACTGCTCGTTTCCCGGGTTGTTCAGAGTCTCAGACCCTGGGTCTACGGCTGATGTTATGTAATGCCAGGTCAGTGGTAAATAAAGCCCCCCTCATTCATGATCTTATTTCAGAGGGGGGTGCTGACCTGGCAGGGATTACGGAGACCTGGTTAGGCCAGGAGGGAGGAGTTCCCCTTGTGGAAATGTGCCCGCCAGGTTTCCATGCATTCCATCAGCCAAGGACTCAGGGAAGGGGTGGGGGAGTGGCAGCAATCATTAGAGAAAGTCTTTGCCCGAGGGAGGCCACTGTTCCTCAGATAGCCGGATGTGAGTCCCTCCTTGTGAAGTGGGGTCGGGGGATTCAGATGGGCCTACTGATTGCGTACCTGGCTCCCTGCCACGTAACAGCGGTCCTGCCTGAGCTGCTCGACATTATAGCCAGGGTGGCGGTGGAAACCCCCAGACTTATTGTTATGGGGGATTTTAACCTGCCATCCGCTGGTGAGATGTCGGAGATGGCTCGGGAGTTCATGGCTTCCATGACGGCCATGGACCTGACCCAGGTAGTTCAAGGCCCCACCCACTTGGGGAATCACACTCTGGACTTGATTTTTGTCTCTGATCAGTGGCTGAATGATCTAAGAATAGGATATAGACATCAAGCCCTTGTCATGGTCTGATCATTCTCTCCTTCACATGGACTTTCAAGTCACTTCCACCCACTGCAGGGAGACGGAACCAACCAAATGGTTCCGTCCCAGGCGCCTGATGGACCCCGAAAGGTTCCTGATGGAGCTTGGGCCATTTCCTGAGACTCTGGCTCACAACTCGACTGAGGACCTGGTGATCACCTGGGACAGGGCGGCTACTGGAGCCTTGGACCGCGTTGTGCCTTTGCGGCCTCTGACCCGATGCCGATCTCGTCTAGCTTCTTGGTTTTCCGAGGAGCTGAGAAAGATGAAGCGTCGGAAAAGACGCCTGGAGAGCGATTGGAGGACAAGCCGATCTGAATCTGACCAAACACAGGTGAGATCTTATATTAAGACCTACCTAGTGGCGATAAGAGCGGCGAAGTCTAGCTACTTCTCCGCTCTTATTACATCTGCAGAGAACCACCCAGCTGCACTGTTTAGGGTGACCCGCTCCCTACTTCAGGTGGGGGTACGGGAAGATCCCTTAAAGGGTTGAGCTGAGGATTTTGTACAATTCCTGCATGATAAAGTCGCTCAGTTTCGGGAAGGCCTGGACTCTGATTGGGTAGATCCAGGGGAGGAGACGGGGGCAGATCTTGAGAGCATTATCTGGGAAGAGTTTGACTCTGTGGCTCTTGAGGACGTGGACAGGATTCTGGGCAAGCTTAACGCTGCCACATGTTTATTGGACTCGTGTCCCTCCTGGTTGGTACTGGCCTCCCGGGAGGTTACACGAGGCTGGCTCCAGGGGATTATAAATGCTTCTCTGAGTGAGGGTGTCTTTCCCGCCGCCTTGAAAGAGGCAGTTGTGAAGCCCCTCCTCAAGAAGCCTTCCCTGGACCCGGCTATATTATCAAATTATCGTCCAGTCTCCAATCTTCGCTTTGTTGCGAAGGTTGTTGAGAGTGTGGTGGCGCGACAACTACCCCGATACCTGGATGAAGTTGTCTATCTGGATCCGTTCCAGTCGGGCTTCAGGTCACGATACAGCACGGAAACGGCATTGGTCACATTGGTGGATGATCTCTGGAGGGCTCGGGACAGAGGTTGCTCCTCTATCCTGGTCCTATTAGATCTCTCAGCGGCTTTTGATACCATCGACCATGGTATCTTACTGCACCGGCTGGAGGGGTTAGGAATAGGGGGCACCGTGCTTCGGTGGTTCTCCTCCTTCCTCTCTGACCGTTCGCAGTTTGTGTTGGCAGGGGGGCAGAGGTCGACCTCGAGGCACCTTATTTGTGGGGTGCCGCAAGGGTCAGTCCTCTCACCCCTTCTGTTCAACATTTATGTAAAACCGCTAGGTGAGATCATCCGTGGTTTTGGGGTGAGTGTTCATCAGTATGCTGATGACACACAGCTATACATCTCCACCCCAGACCACCCCAATGATGCCCTTGCTGTGATGTCCCGTTGCCTGGAGGCCGTGCGGATCTGGATGGGGAAAAACAAGCTCAGACTCAACCCCTCCAAGACCGAGTGGCTGTGGCTTCTGGCGTCCCGGTATAGTCAGCTAGTACCATCACTGACAATAGGGGATGAGATCTTGCTCCCCACAGAGAGGGCCCGCAACTTGGGTGTCCTCCTGGATTCACGGTTATCTTTAGAAGATCATTTGACGGCCGTGGCCAGGGGTGCCTTTTATCAGGTTCACCTGATCCGCCAGTTGCGTCCCTTTCTGGATTGGGACGCCTTGCGCACGGTCACTCATGCCCTAATTACCTCCCATATGGACTACTGTAATGCTCTCTACATGGGGCTCCCCTTGAAAAGCACCCGGAGGCTCCAACTGGTCCAGAACGTAGCCGCGCGGGTGATTATGGGCGCAGCTCGTTACGCCCATGTAACACCTCTCCTACGTGAGCTGCACTGGCTCCCGGTGGTCTTCCGGGTGCGATTCAAGGTGTTAGTTATCACCTTTAAAGCGCTCCATGGCTTAGGACCTGGGTACCTACGAGACCGTCTTTTGCCACCAATAGCCTCCCACCGACCAGTTCGTTCTCACAGGGAGGGACTACTCAGGGTACCGTCAGTCAAATTATGCCGACTGGCAACTCCCAGGGGGAGGGCCTTCTCTGTGGGGGCTCCAACCCTTTGGAATGAACTGCCCCCAGAGATACGGAATATCCCTGATCTCCGTGCTTTCCGCCGTGCCCTCAAGACCCTGATGTTCCAACAGGCGGGGCTAAACATACGAACATGTGAATGATTTTTTAAATGTTATCTAATTCTGGGTTTTATTTAATTGACCAAACTAAGTAATAATTTTAATTAGCAATTTTATGATGTTTGTGTGTCTATATTTTTCTTGACTGTACACCGCCTTGAGTCCTATGGGAGAAAGGCGGTATAGAAATATAATAAATAAATAAATAAATAAGGATAATAAATAAACAGCCATTTCTCAAAAAATCTTAGCTTAATTGTTATTTCATGTGAGGGCTATGTAGTATTTCAGAAATAATTTGGAAAATGAGCTTTGCGGTTTACAGGAGTATGAACAAAATACCTGTTTGCAGTGTTTAAAGCAGCTTCAGTAAATTGGAAATAGGTGTTACGTGTACACTCCTGTGTTCAACAAAGCACATGCTCCAGGGATTGCGTGACTGTACTCTATAGTGACTCTGATTCTGGGAAAGTTGTGGCTCTTTAAAGAGTTACATAATAATAGGCTATATATTGTTTGGAAATGCCTAGCCAGGCAGAAAGGAGTCTCAAGTGGGAGGTTAGCCTTGAATTGCTGCACAGGTCCAAGAGGTCCCCCCACCCCCTTTTAAGCTCCATAGAACCTTATTTATCTTTCCCATGAAAAGGCAAGCAGTCTAGGGTGATTTGTGTATAGTAGAGAGAATATAATAAAGTATTAACTCATTTTTCTTTAATGCCTAAAATGCTTTGGGCTTTTGTTAAACTTCTATTTTAAACAGAAAAGCTAAAGGAAGTCAAAATGATGCAGCAAATTGGGGTTAACAATCTGAATGGTGATGCAGTCAAATTACTTCTTAATTGAAGATCCTCAAGTGCTTAAAAATTACAGCTATTAGTACAATATATCTGTTCATCTTTTAAAAATAAGCACAAAAAGATGCAGTCAAAACTGTACTTAGAAGAAATCTTACATGGATACGTTCTTGTAGTCTCCTAAAATCAGGTTTGATTTGGGGAAGCTTTTACCTTTCTTTATTAGGAATCAATGGATATTACATACTAGAGCTCTGAAATGATTCAGATTTGATTCCAAAAGTTGTTTTGAAGATTACAGGAATATGAGCATAGTACCTTTCTCTGAAACATAGGAGTTGTATCTTTTTCTTTTTCTGGAATTGTGCAGTAGCTGCAAAGGGCAGTTTATAATCCTAGTTAAAGATACAGATATGTTAATGTGCCATGACATAGTATTTGTCATGCTCCAAAGTAGCTTTATGGAGTTGAAGCCAAAGTACTCACAGTACAGTCTGTTGTACATAATACAAGTTTAATGGACTTCTTTTAATAATCAATATACCTGGATACTTTACAAAATACTGTAATAGGACATAGTTAGGCCCAAAACGTTTCACTGAATGTTCTTAAAGATGAGTGACTGAAAACATTAAAACTGAATTCTACAGTTGAACTCCTGTGAGGGTCAAAAATACCATCTATATGCCTAAATACAGTATATTATTTGAGAAAGCATTAATGCTGAAACAAAGTAATTGTCAGAAATCCGTAGTTTGTATTATCTGCATATCTGACTCCTATTGTTACCTAGTGTTTCATGTAGAAAGACAACTAAAATTAAGCATTTATGCAAAGCTATCAATAGGGTTAAATATGACACAACTCACCAGAAATGAGTATGGTTTGTATGTAGTATATCTGGCCAATATTCTCTCATGTCTTCCATGAAATCCTAGCAACATAAAAAATCCTATATATATTAAAAGCAAGGATATGATGTAAACTCCACCTAGATTTCTTCACTGAGTATTTTATTTTATTAGCTTTTGATCCCTTTATTGCTTTATAAATAATTGAAGATGGTGAACATAACCTTTTCTCCACAACAGCCCTGTGAGGTGAGCTGGAATGAGAGAAAGAGTGACTGCCCCCCTTTCATGTATAAAGCAGGACTAGAACTCATCATCTCTTGATTTTTACACCAGCACTTTAATCACTACATCCAACTGGCTGTATAAAATAGCCTCGTATCTATAAAATACTTCACATAACAGCTTTAGATAACATGTGATTATGATAATATTAGAATGTATAGTTACCTCTGCAAATTATTTAAAAAGGGACTCAAGAATGAATGAGTCATCCTCTTTCTCTAGTTCCAGGTTTGGTAATAAATGTTCACTGATTGAAGTGTATTAATAAATAATACTGCTTTGGCAGAATACCCTAAAGCTTTTCTGAGTCCAGTCAAATTCTTGACTTAATTATTATTATTATAGTTTTTCTTCAAGTACTCAGTACCTACAATTTATTTGATTCATACCTTAAGCTCAGATATATTGAAGTGCCAACTTCTATTACATTCTGCAGCTTTATCAGGCCTGGGGAAGAAGCAGAACAAAAGAGTGCAAAGGATGAAAACCAACTGTTCTGAATACTAGTGGAATGCATTCTCCTTCTCTAACATATATCTTGTGAAATGGGAGACTTCACAGGGTTGTCTTGAAGAGAGTTAAGGACCGATAATATAGTACGTACTTCCTTATTCGATATTGTAAAGGTTAAAAAAAATTGAGAACATGAAAAAAAAGTTATATAATGTAATTTCATGGCAATTTAGCATAGAGATGTATGATTAGTGATTCCATAACTTCCTTTCTTGGGAGACAAACAAATCCCAGTAAATAAACCAAACTATTTATAAATATGAAAGTAATATTAAAATTTAATTTACCTAGAAATCCTGGTATTTTCATATAAGTGTTTTGATTCATGGATTACTGTTAGGATGTGGTTTGAGCCTAACACGTTGTCCAGGCAATATATGTGTACTGTAACTTTAATCTGAAAATGTATATGTGACTTTAAAAGTTTTCCTGCTGATTCATTGTAATGCTGAGTCATGCTGTAATTAGTTGTGAACGTATTTAAGAAAGGTACTGTAACGTATTCAGCTGATGATAAGTTATCATAGTGTGAGGAGTTACTATCATTGAGCTATCATCATTGGATGGATCTGTTACCATCGTGGTTTATGAATCAGAGTGAGTTTGTTATTCTAACCAACTAATGTTTGTTTGTAACTACTGGATTGATTTAACTGGCAAAGACTTGGAATTGATTTAAAGACTATGAGATTGTTTTTTCTGCTATAAACCAGTTGATAAACCAGTTTGCACATTTCTTATTCATTGCTCTCAGCAACGTTTCTCTGTGCTCTACACTCTGCTGGTTGGTAACACAACAACAATATCCTTAACAATTACCACAGATTATTTATAATAACAAATCACTTATCATATAATAAAAACTTTCACCTTCGATGGGCATCAGACCAGAATATTTCAAATATAAGATACTATGAGCTTAGAAAGACTAGCAATACAAGATTTTTCTCTCTCAAATTTATATCTTACCAGAGTCCATGGATTGTCCAGTACATTGGTGGATTATTGCATTCATTTTCATTCATCTAGAGAAAATAACGGGTTATTAAAGGAAAACCATTTTTATGTAGAATGGGAAAAATAGGGCCTGATTCAGCTGTGATTAAAATTATTAATTGATTTTTGTTTCAATTTGTCTCAGATTTTATTGATTTAATGAGTCAGCATGAATTTAATCTATTTGTTTTGATTTAGACCTTAGAGTCAAACTTTTGTACAACCCTAGAATGTGAGTATTTTAAGGAAAAAAGCAGAAATCATCAGTATCCAATTGGGCTGATAGACAACCTCACAATATCTGCACAATATAGCAGACTTTCCTGTTCACAAGATAAATATGATGGTGGGCAACACCAAGCTGAGAATTCCAAAATGTTGCCACATTGTCCAGAAGAAAATGCAGCAAGTAGTTTAAGCTAGTCGTTTCCTGATGAATTAGAAAGAGGAGCAGTTTCTTCCTAGAATGTTCTTATCCATCATTATATATTTTTATCTACAATAATACCTACAGAGTCTTAATGTAGTTCAACAGTGATCAAGTAAATAAAAATGATGTGGAAGAATTTTATTTTGTAACATAGCAGTCCCTTTTTACTTATTAATTTAAAAGACTCTTAATAAACTTCAGTGACACTCTGAATGTGACAGTCAACCAAGGAGGTATCCCAAAGATACTAAATTCCCTCTCTCTAAATAACCTGGACTTAGGCTGTGCAGGACTTTGTGGATTATTTTAGACAATACCTTCCCGTAAATGGACGCAAATGGCCTAACAGTTGAAGCTGATAAAAAGTACTCATCTCATTTATAATTATTCACAGGTCATATTGTAACTGGGAGAAAGAACCAACAATACAGCTTGATGCAATTTTTCCAGCTACCATTCTTTCTGGAATGTTACATTGAATGTGTATGGAGACTGAGTGGTGAAGCACTTGGTTCTACATCTGCTGTGCTATAATCCCAAACCAGAAAAATTATATGGAGATACTATTAGCAAGCTTTATTTCACCAAGAAGTGCTAATACTGGAAACTCCACAAGGTTGGTCCCATTTTCATAAAAATGAAAACACTGATAAACTGTTTGAAAATAGCCTCTTCAGAATACCTAGTACACGGGTCAGCAACCTGCGGCTCTGGAGCCGCATGCAGCTCTTTGGACTCTCTGCTGTGGCTCCGTCAGGTGGCCCCGCCCCTCGCCCTTTCCTCCCAGTCACTCCTCGCCTGGGCTGAGAAGGTAAGGGTGATGGCAGGGGATGGAGAAGTGGCCAGGGCAGAGACAGAGAGATACACAAAGAGGGGGGGAGAGAGAGACGTAGAGCGATACAGAGAGAGAGGGAGGTGAGACAGAGATGTCAAAAGGATTTTGTGGTTCTTGGTGTTTAACAACTGGTTCTTTGACCTAATGACCAGCTGGGTAGGCGTGGCTGGGGGGGGGTTGTGACTGGTGGAAGTCAGTGACATCGAGTTGGCCACACCCATCCAGGTTTTGTGGCTCCCGGTGTTTTCTTTTCTGTGGGAAATGGGTCCAAATGGCTCTTTGAGTATTTAAGGCTGCAGACCCCTGACCTAGTATTAGAAAAAAAAGTTGATAAAATCAGAGTAATTTGAGATTTATCTAAAATTTATTAATAAACAATTTTTATCTTTTGAATTAATACTTTGTCATATAAAGTGTTCCATTTAATAACAAAATGGGCTGATAAGCCATGGGTGTTTGAAACCAGTTATATATTTCTGGTTTTAAGAAAACAACCCTTTGTTATTTTGACATGCTCTCTATTTGTCAAGGTTTTTATTTCTTTCTTCAGCACCTTTTAGAAGCATTTACGGTAGCTTATTACTAAGAGAAGTAAAATATTTTACTTACTCCTTATATTAAAAATGAATTTGCACATCATCTTTTTTCTCTCAATCCCCTTTTAGTCTTGCAAACTTTTTCTGACCACATTCACTGTAATGTCACCATCCATGTAAAATGACATCTGTGACCAAATGAAAATTAACCACCCTTGCAATGTTTGTTCTGAATGAGGGTTGGAATAGGACAGGTGTATGTCTGAATACTTTCACATTATTTTGAAGTTGTCAATTTTGTTTCTAATATTGGAAAGGTAATTATTAGTTTTTAAATGGTTGCTTTTTATTTTATGTTAATATTGACTGCTAGCTATGCAAAACTTTCTGAAATAAATGCTTTGAAATTGCATCCTTTTTTTCTATGAAATTATTAAATTTCTTTTATATTCCTTTCCAAAATATAAATGCTTTCCTATTTTTAAAAAATAGCTGTAGCTGGCTCTTATGTAGGAGACTATCACATAAGATGATTTAATTGAAATCCAGAAATGGAGAACATATAGGTCTAAACCGTTTTGGTGGGGAGAAGTGGATTAGAACCTCATCTAGGTCTAGTATATAAAAACTATAATGTCATTTTTAAAAAGCCTCCTCCCTTCAACTCCATCTCACCACCCTTTGAAGCCTCTACTTTTCAGAGCATGCAGTGCACCATCTAGCTACCAAAAGCCTACTTTTGCATTATGATTTAAGTTGGTCAGAATATGGCAATATTTAAGTAAACGCTATGGTTTAAAAATAAACAATCCTGTTACCTGATTTTAGGGAAAGCAATACTCCCATGTTAGAATTGTAGAGTGCTATAAAAAGTAGTAGTTGCTTAACAAAACCCTCTGGCAGGCAATTTTTCATATGATAAAAAGAAAGTATAAAGTTGTAAATCCTATCACAACTGTTTTTTCCCAAAACATTTTTTCAGGCTACTTTAAATATGAGTCATAAAATGCTTGCCATTTTTCGTATTCACCAATATTTCATTGAACTAGCAGAATGCCGTTCATTAAAAACAAACTCAAATCCATTTGCAGTCAATAGTAAGTGTTACATTTATCTTGGCAAGAGCAGAGCAGGAATTTAGCCAATTTTGCAGTAGAAATAAGTGGGAAAATTCACTGCTTTCAAGAGCTGAGTCCTTGACTATGGTATCAGAGACACTTAAAAGCAGCAAATATTCATGCTATTTCCAAGTATTTCTGATCAACAGTACAGTTCAGAGAAGCAGCTATGAAGCAATGGCATTTAGCTTAACAAAAAGTCTAATGGAAAAGATTTGCTCACAATAGCCAATGAATGGAGATATCAGCTTGGTTTTTCTACAAAGTAACCAATATTATCATGTGGTACCTTGTAGGTGTTGGGAATCTCAATGTCTTATCAGCGCTGAACAATACAGCAGGGCAAATGTCAAAGTACAGCAAGAGTTCTATTCCAAAAGAATGTGAAGACTCTACTTTTATTCCAGCTTTTGTATTAGGTTAGTTGGTATATGTATCTTTATAATGGAGATTCTGGCAAATTCCCCATTGAAATACTCAATAATGTTTCAGCTCTTAATATTAGCAATCCCCAAGATTATTTTCTGCTCACCTGAAATTCATTTATATTTTTTAAATTGCTTCAAATCTTATAGCAAGAACAAAAGAAGCACAAGATGACTGAATCTTAACTTCCTAATCTAAAATGACAGGATTTTTCCTGTACAGTATATGCTTCTCCTTTTATGATGTAAAGAAACCAAGAAGTTTCTAACAGCCCTTGTTTTTTTTTTATTTCACCCACCAATAAAATAAGTAGAAGCATGGTTTCACTAGGATATCAAAGCTGTTTATAGTTGGATTTCTTTGAGCCTGAAAACTAGTCTTTCCTAAGAAAGCGGTAATTTGAAAGACTTTAGACTGCTACGAGCAATAAATAAAGGCACTCTCTGCACAGACAATAGATGTATTCACTGAATGAAACTATTTAGGCTGCATCCACACACCTTCCACAAGATGCCCCATTATTTCCAGTAGATATATCTTCAGGTCAATACCCATATCTTTGTCAACACACAACTGAAGAAGTCGAAAGATGGCTTAAATCCTGAGTCTCAGTTCAAGAACTTCCATCCAGATAACCCAAGGAAGTAGCATGAAATGATGCAGTAAATAGTGGCAATCTGCTCAGCCCCAATTTATCAGGTAGGTTTGTTGTAGGACCACTTTCTTCCAAGTAATGGGGTCTATTCAATGCCTATTCTGCAGTATGGATTTAGCTGCAAGGATGAGTGGAGTTCTAACTTCTGAGTCCCCTTTTTCCTTTTCCTACATAGGTTGAGTTAAGCTGTTATAAAACCCTGAAATGGATGGATCTGTCCTGGACTTAACATATGTAATTGAAAGCATAATAAAAAGGACTTGGCTGTTATGCATCTGTCACCTGATGACATGAAAATTTCCTACCCAGTGAAAATCCAGAAAACCACTACATAGCAATCAAGATATAAAAACTAATTTTCTGCTATCCCTTAGTGGTCTACAGATCAAATAGTCAACTGGGTTTACTGGGTTTACAAAGTTATAAGGAATAAAAAGAATTCAATTGGTCAACACTGTGACAGCAGTGAAAATGGGGAAAAACTTCAGTACACAGAAACTGTTCATATGCACACACACATGCATATTGTTCATATGCACAGATGTGTGTGTCTTCAAATCAATTTTGAGCCCTGGCAATTGCAGTTTTCTTGGCAAGATTTCAGAAGTGGTTTGCGACTGCTTCCTTCCTAAGGCTGAGAGAAAGTGATTGGCCCAAGGTCACCTAGCTCACTTTGTACCTAAGATGGGACTAGAACTCACAGCTTCTCAATTTCTAGTCTGGTGCCTTAACCATTACAGTAAATTACATCTTGTGTACTAACTAAGGAAGCTGTCATGTAGTAGATGATATTTGCAGACTTGGAATTTTAGCCAAGGGAATCACAAATCACAGCCTTTAAAATATCATGTGCATTACATCTGTATGGACAGCAGTGCAGTATGGACCTTTCTGGGATTGCAGTAAGGAGGTTCTTGGGGTTAGCAAGATTTAGGCTGGATGATTTCCTGCTGGCTCTGGAATGGGAGCATAGTAAAGGAGTTGTATGGATTTACTGTTAGTTTTGTTTTGATTATATCTCCGAACAATCTGCTTTCACGTGTAGCACTAAAAGATGAGGTTTGAAAGAATAATGTGGCTGGGCTGCTGCTGTTTCCAGCTTTATGAGTTTTTAGGAGATTTATTATGCTGATATGATTTTTATGATTTGGATGTTTTAACATCCAAGAATCTGATATGCTATAAATATTAATGTGACTACTATTAACATTATGTGATCCCTTCCTATAGACACATTACCATTATTACTTTTATAATAATAAAATGTAATATTGTTTGTGATGTAGTATTAGGACGTTGCTTTTTCTTACGTTTGAAACTGAAATAAAAAATGAAAACATGACACATTTCTCCTACTTCAGAAGATGATATTCTGAGATCCTCCTCTTCTTATATTGCTTCACTGTGGATAATCTTATCTTATCTGAATTTGTGTAAGTCAGTGACTATTGTTTAAAGGTGTACATGTCACTTTGAGATTGAGAAAAAGTGGCATCTAGTTTTCATAAATAATACCTTAATTCTTTTAAACATTACTTTCTTTGCAAGGTCTGATTTTTAAATTTGAAAATTCAGAACAATTCCTCAGAGTTGAACATAGATCTTTTAGTCATGTGCAGTGGCCAAATGTTTAAGATCTCAGTAATACTTCTCATCTCTTGCACCCTTTTCACAATACAGCAAAATAAATATTTTTATAGGCATACAGATAGCAAAATAACCACATCCATTTAAGAAGATCTTACCATGCAAACAGTCACTGGCCAATGATGAACTAAGTATAATTTTTCCCACTTATGATAAACACTGAAACATAAAATATTTAGACTTAGAATAACTTTATTGTCACTTTAAATATATACTAATTGACATACATTAAAATGATTTTTTAAAAACACTTAACACTCCAAAGGAATAACACTTCATTAGTAACATTTTCCTGGTATGATTCACACATAATGCTTTATCAAGGATTTTTTTTTTTTTTGCCTAACTATAAACTAGGAAGTTAACTACAAACAGTGAAGTTTGGCAGTATATTTCAAAATGGTTTACAATGACTGGCTTATTTAAATAATAGCTTTTGTCTGAACCCAAAATACTGATATACTCCATTCCTTTTTGTTTCAGTAACCTCCCTAACCTCTGAGGTGCAACATAAAATACAGAAACCCAACAATTTCTCTCCAAACTACTAAACTCTTTTTGGCAATAGTATTTTAAATTATATTCATCTCAGAGTACAAGACAACAGTGGGACTATGATTTTTAAAAGCCAAATCACATACAAGTACTATAACATACCGGTACTAGTTTACATATGAGAAGCTAGTTGTCTCAGAAGAAATGCAGACAAACTTTACTTCCATGGAAAATCCTCTCCCCCTCCCACCACCACCACTTCACAAGGCAACTTAAACATTCCTGTCAAAAGAATCACTTCCATTAGTTGAACAGGAAGGTGCCCTCTTCCGTGTCTCAAAATTACAATGGAAGTTTGATAAATCCCCAAACTATATTTAAGAAAAAGACAGAGGAAAAGAGAGCTAATTTCCACAAATGGGAAAACTATCTGGAGGTTAATCTGTTTGGTTAATGGATAAACATTTTCAGGACTACTTGTAAAATTAAATGCCATTGTCTTTAGAGTTTTCATTTCAGGTTACTTACCTATCAGCCAATAAATGTGTAGCAGATCCACAAAATAGAGCAAACCAAAAACACTCAACAAGCAAACCATAACCAGTCACTGATTTCATTTTTATTTACAATATATCTATGAAGAAAGGAAAAAGGAAAAAAAATGTAATACTGGTTATTTTCTAATTCATCAAGATGGAAAGCAAGTAGCCTGTTTTCCATCAACAAAATCTATATTATTACCTTTTTTATAAAATATCTTTAAAAGGTAAAAAGTTATATAAGGTAAAATTACATGTTTTCAGTTTCTAATTGGAAACAATGATTAAGATTATAACATTAGAAATCTGAAGGAGTCTAGTAGCATATTTTCCAACTAACAGATTTTATTAAAAGGTACAGATAGTAATTGCAATAGTTAAGTCATGTGGTCATAAAGTAATGTCATAAAGTGTGATGTGATTTCCCCACTTAATGATAGCAGTTCCTAGTTATCATTGTTAAGTGAAGGTCATGCAGATCATTAAGTAAGGACCTCACATAATCACAACTCCTGATTTCCTGTTTCTCCATTGACTTTGCCTGTGGGAATCCAACAGGGAAGGTTGCAAATGGTGATCATGTGACCATGGGACACTGAGAATCAAAAATCACAATCATGTGACTAACTGCAGAAATGCTGTGATTGTTCAAGAACTGGTCATAACTACCATTCCTTCAGTGCTGTTACAAGTTTGAAGAGTTAGATGGATTAGTTGTTAAACAAATAACATCTGTATAAGCATTCAGGAGCAGCATTTTATCACATGCAAATAGTGGCTGGACTGATTTAAATTGGAGTGAGGTGGAGGTGAAGATAGCTTGGTTATGCAGATACAGATTATATAAGGGTTTGTAACAGTGCTGTTGGTGTAGATATTGGGGCAAAGTAGGTATCTGATGAAGTAAATTGTAACTCGGGAAGGATTATGCCTTTTAATAAAGTGTTTTAGCTGGAAAGGTGCAGTCAGATGACTCCTGATTTTTTTGCTACCATAGATTAACATAACTACTCCTACAATGAACAATCTAACTCAGAATTAGAATGCCAGTTCATGCAAGAACATTTTAACACTTTACCATAGTTATCTGAGTACATAAGTATTTAAAAAAACACTTATAAATACGGAAAAGAATCATTTACATTACTATTTCTTACAATTTATTATAAAGGTTCTTCTGGACAGTAGATTAAACAGGAAGTTTTTCCTCATAAAATACCCATAATGCAATGTGCACACCCCCGCGCATGCGCGCATGACCCCCCCCACACACTCCCCCGCCCACGCGCGTACAACAAGGATGGGTTCTAAAAAAATTACTACCGGTTCTGTGGGCGTGGCTTATTTTGTGGGCGTGGCTTGGTGGGGTAATGTGACTGGGTGGGCATGGCCAACTTTTTTTTTTACTTTTAAAAGCATTTTTTCTACAACCTTAAGAGGTTGCAGAAAAAAATGCTTTTAAAAGCCTCTGACGATCCCAGCTGAGCCACGCGATCATCAGAGGCTTTTTAAAAAAACTTTTAAAAGCATTTTTTCAGCTGAAGTGGTGGTAGAAAATTGCTTTTAAAAGAAAAAAAAAGCCTCTCATGAGATGGGCGGGGTAAGCGATCAGCGACTGGGTCGGGGACTGGTTCGGGGGCGTGGCCAGCCAATGTTATTACCAGTTCTCCAAACTACTAATTTTTACTACCAGTTCTTGCAAACTAGTGCAAACCAGGAGCAACCCACCACTGGCGCACGACCTTCTGCCCATCTTAGGCCCAGTAGGCCTCCCTGCAGCCTCCTGGGCCCAAAAACGGCTGTGAGGAGGTGCACAGCACCTGCCCATGCTCCCCCACCCCCCACGCTTGCACACATGATCCCTGCTCCCCCGCGCATGCTCGCACAATCCCCTGCACATGCACGCACATCTCTCGCATGTGCCTCCGCCCCCTGTGCATCCCAAAAATCAGCTAGCCAGTGGGAGGTGTGTGCGCGCACGCGTGGTGGAGCTGAGCTGGGTAACGGCTCATGTGCCCGCAGAGAGAGCTCTATGTGCCAGCTGTGGCACGCGTGCCATAGGTTCGCCATCACGGCTATAAGGGCTCTCATCATTTGACATATTCAGGAAAGATATCTCAAACCAATAGAGAGAAAGGAGAAAACATTCTTACACACATCAGATATCACACCTGTATGAGTGATGGCCCAAACAATAATCTGGTTTGTGTTGAATACTTGAAACTATATAGCTTTCAGATGAAATGCAGAGAATTAATTATGGTTCCAGTCAGGGCTGAAATCCAGCAGGTTCTGACAGGTTCTGGAGAACCAATAGTGGAAATTTTGAGTAGTTCGGAGAACCGGCAAATGTCACCTCTGGCTGGCCCCAGAGTGGGGTAGGAATGGAGATTTTGCAATATCCTTCCCCCAGGAGTGGGGAGGGAATGGGGATTTTGCAATATCCTTCCCCTGGAGTGGGGTGGGAATGGAGATTTTGCAGCATCCTTCCCCTGGAGTGTGGTGGGAATGAAGATTTTGCAGTATCCTTCCCCTGCCACGCCCACCAAGCCACACCACACCCACGAAGCCACACCCACAGAACCGGTAGTAAAAAAAAATTGGATTTCACCACTGGTTCCAGTGCTGCTATGGACAGCAGACTGCTCAGAAAACGAACTTTTCTCTATGCATGGTGTACATGTAACAGATTGTAACATATCTATAATCAGGTTTGTGGGTTAGAATAAATAAAGGTTGAATTGAAAGGATGTAGAGAAAAACGTTAAGTCTGCTGGGTATTGGCAGACTTCATTTAAACAGCACTGTAAGCATGCAAACACAGATACCAATTATAACAGATGTTCTGTTTGTTTTGTTTATCAGTCAACCTCTGATCAGAACATATGCTAGAACAGAATTATTTTCAAACACAATGAAACATATTAGGACAGAAACAATTCCTCTTATTCATCACTTATTTCTGTGCTGTTTGCATAGTTTTTTATATTCTTGTGTTCTCTATTAGTCTGACTACACTAATTGGACAGACTTTTAGTGCATTGACTATACTGAAAGTAGTTTTCTCAAAATATTAACATTACTGATTTGATGTTGCAAATAGCCTTTTACAGATAGAAGAGCATGAGCTACTTTTTTATGGGTTGAAGAGAGGAGGACTTTATTCTTAATTAGTATTTCTAGTATTGCTTCTATAAGCAGTACTGAAATACTGAAGCATGTATTCAATATTGTTTTGCTGATTCCTTAAAAAATAGGAAAGTTTCAACTTCCCCTTTCTTGTGCAAAGAAGTTCACCCTGATACTTTTAGCATTCATTGTTTCCTCTTTTTCCCTGAGTCACATGTAACAGTAATGTCTTAAATGGTAAAAAAGACAAACATTAATAACAATGCAATTATTAATGCACTATTTTGGATAGATTCATTGAATAAATGCTACAGACTTAATATCTTTAAAGGATGTTCAATCATTTCTTAATTTGCCAAGAAGCTCAATAATTTTTAAAGTCACTCATCTGTTCATTTTGCTTCTATACGATACCTGTTCAGAATAATGCTGGTTTTTTTGCCTGTATTGTTTCTTTTTCACCTTTTATATTCTTATTGTTCTAAATTATTTACTGTTCTCATTTCAATGATGTTTGCTGCTGCATTTTAATTCTACAGTATTTTTAGCTGATTTGCTTTAAACCACTATGAATCCTTTTCATTCAGCAATATACAAACAGAACAAAATACTGTAAAGAAATATTTACAAAATTTAGCAGGCTGAATGGAACAAGCACCCTCCCCAATTGGGAGGGGACCTCAAACTAATTAAGAAAAACTGAAAAAGCTCATTGTATAGAATACGGAATGCCTATTGGAAGAAGCTAGTTAGAGCCAGAAAACTACGAACAAAAGTAAATGGAATGAGGTGGTCTGGAAAATCTACCTTCCCCGTGGACTTTGCTTATCGGAAGCCAGTTAGGAAAGTTGCAAATGGTTATTACACGACTCCAGGACAGTGCAACCATTCTAAATACATACCTATTGCCAAGAGCCCAAATTTTGATCATGTGACCATAGGGATGATATGATGGTTTAAAGTGTGAGGATTGGTTGTCAGTCACTTTTTTCAGCACTGTTGTAATTTTGAACAATCAGTAAACATATGGTTATAAGTTGAGGAGTACGTGTAACCTGCAGGTCACACAGAAAAATAAACTAGCCAGCCAAATTTTAGATCAGTGTATCATACAAACCCACTTGGTATGATTACTTTATGGTTCAGTCCTTTGTATAACCCCCCATATTAGGTTAAGTAAATCATGCTTCTTTAGCTATGGGCAGGTGCTATGATTTAACCTTTGATATGGTTGCCTTTCAAGATTCTGAGGTTAATGTAGTTAGACCAAGTTAGCTTTGAAAAGTTATTGCTTCATGTGCACAAATGGTAAAATAATCTTTCAAAGCTAACTTGCTCTACTCAGTGCCTAGATGGAGGCAGCCAGAGATCTCGTAGAGTGTACCATATAGTTTATGGACATACATCTATCATTGTCCTATATCTAATAAGTTAAAGTTACATGCAAGAATTATGCACTAGTTCTTATCCAGATTTCAGCTAAACAAAACAATACAAAACAATACAAAAGAGTTCTGTCAAATTATACAAAACGAAAACTCAAGGCGTATTTATTCAGAAGAATATCCTGCATATTTTAAGAACACATCATGGAAATTAATTTCCTAAAAACATTAAAACAGATTGAAGCAGCACATTCTCAAATATTATCCAAAGGTTTAATTTCTGATTTTCCATAGGTTTTTGTTTGCCTCAAATATAAGAAATAAGTCATACTGAAGCAACTGAGCTATTCACTAAACAAAGGCAATTTCACAGATTCTAAACGCACAAACCTGAGAAACCCTGTTTCTTTTTACCGAGACTTATCGAAGGTTTTTCAGAAGTCATCTCCGATAAATAAAAGCATTGACTGCTCTTCCGTCCGAAAGGAGTTCAAGAAAAACCAAAATACAAGTCTTCAAGGATCCATTTCTTATAACCTCTTCCGGATAGTTCGCCGTATTTTTCGACGGGTATATTAGGGCAAAGGACCATCATAAAACGTTTCGATACAAAGCCAGTTTTAGGTGCTTTATAATTAACCAATCCGAATTCCGATTTGTTTTGAAACAAAGCCGCACACTAATTAAAGAAAATTAAATTATCCCCAGTTAAAAACCCACTTCAAAACAAGACTTACTAGCCAAGATGCACGCTTCAGGAGCTGAAGTTTTTGATCAGTCAAAAACCTCGCGACTTTGTTTTGCCTGGCTTGCGAAAACCAATCAGGAAAGCTCGTGCCCGTGTTAACTTTCGCTTCCCTGTAGGGGCCAGCACTTCCGCTGCGGAATTAAGTCCCGCCCATTTAACTTTTCTTTCCCTGCTGGGTGGAAGACAAAGAAAAGGGCTTTCTGCTATACGTTGCCTCTCAACATTGCTTAGATTCTAATCGCTTGTCTTCCATTTGATTGATATTAAACATATGTACATATGTAAGACTAAACCTATGTACTTTACTTTTTAAAATGTCCTATATCCCTGCTGTAGAAAGTACATAGACTATGAAAACACAGTAATACCATAAGCAATTATACACTGATAGTTTGTGATTTTTAAATATTGGTAAGTTATTAAATCAGTCTAGGTTTTTTTTTATTAAATCAGTCTAAGGGTATTTTTAACTCCAAAGTGAGTGTATATCCAATATGCTAGAAAATACCTCCTTTAAAATTGGTGGAAGTTTCAAGCAAGCATACACTGAAACAGTCTTATAACATGTAATTAGCACACATCAACGCTAACAAATGGGCTTTGCCTAGTCTGACATCATAAATGTGCATTTTGGTATTTTTTGTAAAACAGTTAAATGCTATATCTTTAATCTATAGAACGAAGAATGTTCTATAAATATTTTCAAATATTTAAATAACCAAAGGAAGACAAATGCCTTGTATCCAAATGTACTATTCAATCCTAGCCAGTTTGATTATTGATCAAACTCAGCTTAAACATAAGTCTATTGCGTAGATACAAACTGATTAGTTGCAAGCTCACAAAAACAGAATGAATTATAAGGTTAATTCATATTTTATAATGGAGATCCTTTTGACACAGAAATGTTGAATTTGTTTAGCAATATTTGTGATTTTCCAGATGTTTTCTAAATATTTTGAGATATGTATTCAACTTTTATTTTTTACAAGATTACTGTTGCAAACATGAAACAGCCAAGTACCTATAGAACCCACGAATTACCTCTAAGGCAGGGGTGTTGAACTCACGTCACAACACATATCAGGACTTTTTTCCCCTTCGCTAAACCAGGTGTGGCCATGGCCAGCACGTGATGCATCCGGCCCACTCTAAGGCATGGCCACAGTCTGCACAGACCTTAGTATTTCATTATTTTCTTTTATTGCGTAATATTAAAGCTACTTAGGCACATAACGTCCTCATACTTTTAGTGGTATCTCTGAGGAAATTGGCAGGAAATGCCACCAGAACATACACACAGAATTAGTATAATTACAAATAATCTATTTACTATCTAGTTTGGAAGAATGAAAAATATAAATAAGCAATACCTCATTACTACCTCATAGAGTTCAGATAAAAAGTAATATAAAATAAATTGTCTCAGAAAGTTTCAGCTAGTAACTAACCTTTGCAGTCAGATTTCTTTGACAGATTACTTTAAATATTGTTGCTTTTAAAGATTAGGACATGTATTTTTAGTGCCACCTGCAGCATGATTCTAGAAGTAATAAATGCCACATGTTAGTCTTTATCAGAAAGATAAAAAATACATTAAAAGATTTAACTTTTATTACCCAGTATCATGCAGAAAAGTTAGACATAGCCCAGTAGTGTAGAGTTAATCTATACTATTGCTTTTGGGAGAGGCATTTCAACATTGTATTAACACAAAATATTTCACCTTTTGTTAAAGACTTGGAGTTTACAGTGCTAGCAAAAGTTGGCTCTTTTAGAAAAATTTGTTCAAGCTTGTTTGTACTGATGAAAATTCTTAAGACTGCGCACTGCAGGAGCAGCAAAATCCAAAGGAACTCTGACATTTTGGAAATAAAAGCAGTTGATCAAGCTGGTAAATAATACTTCAGCAATTTATTTATTTAGGGAAAGTTTTTTTTTTATATTGTAAGGAAATCCTCAATTTACAATCATTCATTTAGTAATGTTTCAAAGTTACAACAACACTGAAAAAATGACTTAAATGACTTAAACCAGTCTTTGCATTTAAAATTATAGCAGCATCTCCATGATCACATGATCATAATTTAAGCCTTTAGCAACTGACATGTATTTAGGATGGTTGTAGTGTCCTGAAATCATATAATTGCCATTTGGTTCCAACAAGCAAAATCAAAGGGGGAAGCCAGATTTATTTAACAATGCATGATTCACTTAACAGTCATAGTGATTTGCTTAACAACCGTGACAAAAAGGGTCAGAGAAGGTTACAAAATCATAAAAACAAACGCCTTGCTTAGCAATGGAAATTCTGGTCCCAATTCTGGTTGTAAATCTTGGACTACTTGTATCGTTATAGCAACTACCATGGACAGCAATTCCAAATAGCAGCTGGTCAAAGTACTGCACTCTAGAAAAAAAATTGTTGATTTCATCTACTGGGTACCATAATTCCTGCTCCAGCACTGATAGTGACATAAAACTTTGGAGACTTATACAACCAAGAAACAGGGATGGAAAACAACTTACTCATCGGCATTCTGTACTTCTAAGTAAGATTTAGAAAAGGTAAACGTTCCCTACACATATTGACCACATTACCATTACTTTCGTATTATTGCCAAGAAAATTGTTTGCTGGTATCTTTTTTCCATTTGACTCCCTCTCTTGGCTTTGGAAAAAGTGCAAAGAAGAGCAACTAAGATGATTAAAGACCTAGACACTAAAACATATGAAGAACGGTTGCAAGATTTGGGTTTGGGTAGTCTAGAGAAAAGAAGGACTAGGAGGGGACATGATAGCAATATTCCAGTATTTGAGAGGCTGCCACAAAGAGGAGGGGGTTGATTTATTTTCCAAAGCACCAGAGGGCAGGACAAGAAACAATGGATGGAAACTAATCAAGGAGAGAAGCAACCTGGAATTAAGGAGAAATTTAACAGTGAGGACAATTAATTAGTAGAACAGCTTGCCTTCAGACATTGTGGGGGCTTCATCATTGGAGGTTTTTAAGAAGAGACTGGATAGCCACTTGTCTGAAATGGTACAGGGTCTCCTGCTTGAGTAGAGGGCTGGACCTCCAAGCTCTATTCTGATGGCTACAGCATAATTTCCTGGGTTCCCTTCCAAAGTCCAGATCCAGCCCTGCTTCTCTCTGCTCCCCCCCATTTATTAGGGGAAATGTTACCCCCCCTTTTTTTTTCCTAGGAAAGGGATTGTTATTTTGCTGGAAAAACACCCAGCCACCCTGGGCTGAACATCAATATTCCATTTCATCCAGCTGGCGCGACCTCCCATGTGGAAAGGCGGAGAAACTTCCTTCGCTCGCGCAAATCCAAACCGAACTCCATCAAAATTCGCCGCTTTGTAAAAACTCCCGCCTCCGCGCCCCATCCAGCCAATCGCAGAGCTGGGTCCCCAAGTTTGCCCGTCCGCACGCTCGAGGCGGCAAAAAGCGCGGCTGCCCGCACGCTTCGCGCGGGTGACGTATCCCCCGGCTCCTTCGGGTGGACGGGAGGCCGGTTGGTCACGTGCTTCGGCGAAGCCCCTCCTCTTCCTAGTAGAGGAACGAATCTGCGAGGCTGGGCAGATCGCGGCTTACAGTTTAGGCGGTTGTCAGGGAGAAACAAGATGGCGGCGGCGACGACGGAGGAAGATACGGAGCTGAGAGATCTCCTCGTGCAGACGCTGGAGACGAGCGGGGTGCTCAACAAAATCAAGGTGAAGGGGGCGAAAGGCGAGGCTAAGCCTTGGCTTTGAAGGGGCGGGGGAAAAGAAACGGGCGAAGCGCCCCGGCTGCACGCTCAAGAGAGAACGGGCGCGCTCTAGAGCGAAGCTGCCGGTTGCGCGGGCCGCAGAGGAGGTCGAGGAGACGTGAACCGTACCAACCCGCCTGCCGCGACTATTCCCGCTTTCAAGGGAGGCAAATGGGGCAACGACGCTTTGCACCGCCCTCGATTAAAGGCGCATGCGTCGAACTTTTACTTGGTGGTCGAGAGGTGGAAGGTGTGAATGGTCGTTAAGAAAGCCGGACCATAATAGATAAAGGCCTCTGAAGCCCCAACGTTCTGTTTCCATGGTTTCTGGTCAGTGGCAGCACTAGGCCGCTATTTATGCTCCTGCAAATTGCCTATGGTCATCGGGTGGAGAATGGCAACTGTTAATAGTCGTATCTCCAGGACGCTTTAAAAAAACCTCTTTTAAAGTTGTGAAGGTGGCATTACGCCATAAGAAGGACTCATTCCTGTGGGTTACACGGGAAAGAGCTTCCCTTTGTCTGCCTCTTGCCACTTTGGCTGCCCAGTTTCATTATATGATAGAAGGTCAGTCTTCTCTATCCTGGCCCTTGCACGTGTTGGACAATACCAGGCTGGTTAGAGTTATATGGGAGCTCCCCCCCCCATATTTTCGAGGGCATCGGGATAAGAAAGTCTGCCTCAGGTTCAGAATGAAAAGAAAGATTAATCCTACATCTCACATATATAACCAGTTAGTTTTCTAAGGAACTCAAGATAATGTACTTGATTATGCTTCTCTCCCTGCTACCTCTGTTCTCACAACAACCTCATGGTGTAAATTAAGCTGAAAAACAGGAACTGCCACCAGGTTATCTGCTACATTTTGTGTCACAGAGGAGATTAAAATACAGGGTTTTTTTTTCTGTCACTTTGTCCCAGCGTTATAATTTTATATTCCAGGAAATACCATGCCTGCTGGGTAATTAAAAAAAAAAACCCAAAGAAGAAAACGTTCCATGAAAAGACATGTCGCTTTTGCGAAAGTGTTGCATGGATACTGACATGAAGCCATCAGGAATTGAACCTGAATCCAATGCAATTTTTTATTTTAGCTATCTTTTGTGTTCTAATATTAAAAAGGACTGGATCCTGTATCTTCTTACTCTTGGACAATTCTGCAATACCCTTTATAAAAGATTTGATAATTAGAATGGGAACATAT